GAACATCTATAAAGCTTAGTGTGTTACATGAACCCCACTGGTAGAAATTTATAACGATGGCTTGCTGGTCTCTCCTTCACATCACAATAATTCCATATTTTGAGAACCACTTGATACCAGAAATCTGCCAGAAGGCACTTCTTTGGGGGTCAGTCTTGATCTGATGGAAGTAACAAAAAACTTTGTAAAAAAACCTGACTGTTGATCCTCTTTGAGTTGTCTGTATGCAGGCAAGACTAATATCTACAGTCTGTTTTTAATTTCTGAAAATTATGGTCCTAGTTGTCATAGCTGTACGGAAAACATTAGAAATATGTAGAATGTATGACATCCTGCCAGAATCTGCTGGCAGTCTTTAATAATAGCTCTTGAGTTGTCCCTTACAGGAACAGATGCTCAGTTTTGTTTTTTGCTTCAGGGCCTTCTCAGCACAAGAAGCCTGGTGGCCCCCAATCTGATTAGAGCAAGATTTCTTTTCTGCATATTCTCTCTGGGCTCTTGGTGTACATGTTCAAGCAACACACAAGGGGCTGGATTTGCACAGCTTGCTAGGATAGATTATGTATGTTGCAGGAACCCAGGTGTTTGGATTAATTCACTAAACATGTGTGGGTTGTGCATTCATAGGCACAGGCTAGATTTAGGCAGCATATTAAACCGTGTTCCTTTTAACTGGAGACATCAGAAAGTAGACTGGGACCATCAGCTCCTCTTCCACAGCCAATGTTCAGGCCTTGATCAGCTGAGTCCTACAGACAGTCCCAAACCTAATATAAATACAAGATGAAATAGTGAGACTCCCAAAATAAGAGTAACTAGGTGGGCTGCTTTCCCCTCCCCACTTGGAATCTACTCCTCATAGCACAAGGTCACTCTGGAATCACCAACATTACGATGATGCCTTTTGAAACTCTTCTGCATGCAAGGAAAGTTCAGTGCATCCATGTGTTGCCTTGTTTGTCCTTGGCAAAACTGTATTTTTTTATCAATGAGGTAATCAAACAAAGCTCAGAATTATTTAGGTTCATTTCCTTGTGAGTCTGAGCAAAGTTTGGAGGATATGCTTAGACTGAAATGTCCTCTCTGCTTCTCATTACAGCCAGAGCTATTCATCATTAGCCCAGCTAATATTAATGACCACGCCCACCCACCAAGAAAACTGCCTGTTAACTCCTTGGCAGCTGATAGTTTTGAATGTTAAACATCCATGATAACTGATGCTTTGGCTCTTCTAGGGCAGCTCTCCCCATCCAGGAGTCGTCCTAATGTTTTGGAACTACAGCTCCCAAAAGGCCATGCTGGCTGAGAGATCTCCAGCTTGGGAAATACTATCCTGGGAAATAATGTGGCTAAATGTCAAGCAGCTTATGCTTTCTAACCATATCTGATCTATTTAACTAAATCAGCAATTACAAAGGAGAGAATGGCCAGCTTATCACAGCAGATCCCATTTTCTGGACTTTTCCATGCCAAGCATTTTGCAGGTTAACATCTCAAAGGTACTTCTACAACCTGTATGGGAGTCATGCTAAGGATGGGGCTGTGGAAAACCCAGTCACCTTTCATGAGCACCTGAGTGCACATCTTCTTCACATTGTGCTGCTGCACTGAATCCACTGAGCAGGCTGACTGAATGCTTTCATTCAGGCAGGGAGCCAAGACTGCTACTTCTTGTGTGGGACAACTTCATTTAGTCATTTTATAATAAAAAACTGAGGCCCCATTTTTCAGCCAGAAATGCTCATATTTTCGGTTTTTGGACATGTGAAAAGATTGATGGGCGAGCCTCCCCCCCCCACACAAAAAAGAATGAATATGCTTGGCACGGTTGAAGAAAGTAAAAGATGGGGAATACAGTGGATAAAATAGATGGATGGGATCAAAGAGATTATGAAATGTCCTTGGAAGAGCTACAGGTTATTACTGGGGCAGGATGACATGGTCAACACTTTCCATGCAGTCACCATAAGCTGAACCCTACTCAATGGCAGCTAATTTTGAGCTAGAGACAGTGGAGTAGAGAATACACACACACACACCTGCTTTCTAATTTACAATTTAAAAAGACATGTCCCAAAAGAAGAGGGGAAGGGGAAGGGAAGAAAGCAAACTCAGGGCTTTGGAGCTTTTAAGCAGCCAACTGGAATGGAGATGGTGCTCAGGGAAATCCAAATGATTGAGTAGCTGTTCCTTCTGTTCTTGTTTATAAGGAAATTGTTTTTAAAGACTTCTGTGAGGAAGGTCCCCCAGTTCAGCCGTCAATAGCAATTGCTTGCTTCTCCTCTTCATCACCTCATTGTGCACTTCAAAAAAGGAGGCTCCTTTGATTTGGTGTGACTTCATGGACATGTCAATTTTGGCCTGTTTAAAAAAAAATACTTCAGCCAGAGCATAACTTCACTGCCCTTCCTGGGGTGATGAGAGGATAAGGCAAATCCTAAGAAGAAAATTGGTCCACTATCCCACCACGAGACAATGTAGGTTGACTATCTGAGAAGATTTGGAATGTCATAAAAGGAAAGTGAACTGTTGCTATTCAGTTTATGATTGTTGGTGTTTATTCTCAGAAAAATGGGAGAGAGAATTAAGAGAATTTCTGCCTAAGATGGTGTAATATTTTATTTATTTCTATTTACTTACTTGGCTTATATGCTGCTCTAACCATAGTTGATTCTGAGTGGTGCATATACACAATATATTAATTGAATTATATAAGAAATATGCCATCAAAATCTCTCCAGGCATTATTAATAACCAATTCCAAGCAGATACTTCCCCTGGGAAATTTGCATCTCATCTACATATATACATATATAATTTTTATTGCAAAATTTTATGTAGATAAAAGATTAGAGGAAGAAAATTAGAGAAAGAAAAGAAAAAGGTAATTAAAGTGACTTCTTTACAGCAGTTACAAATTAATTATCCCTCCTCCCTAAGATTACATTAGAAAAAATTCTTTCTATCCCATATTCGCCCTTTTTTCAATCAGCAAATCCAGAAATCACCATTTAACTTTTTTCCATTTTCAGCAAAAAGTCCATAAAAGGTTTCCAATCCTTTATACAAGTACTTGTAGTTTTATCCCTTACGAGGAAATTTGTATCTCATCTTTGAGGTGGGCACTATTTATTCCTCCATATTAAGTAGTACAGTTCATGGGCTGGTTCCAATGTGAGGGAAAGTCATTGCTGTTATCTTCAGATTCATGCAACAGGCCTCGGTGTGAAACATGATGCTAGATGCAATGGACCTTAAGTCTAATCTAGCAGGGTTTTCTTGTTTTGTCATTACTATGGCACTAAAATTTTGCACATAAGCAAAACCATGTCCAGCACCATTTGCAAAGGATTAGTGCAGGTCACAAGAAAGTATGTCAGAGATCCAAGGAGATTACTACTATATAAAAAAATGTCTGGTGGATTGATGCCCACTTAGATAAAAGACATTGCATCCCATGATGAATGTTGTTGTGCCATTGTATTTCCTTCTAACTCATAACTCTGGCTGGATCCATTTAATGACATTTATGAGTCATGCATTCATAACTGCAAAACACTGGACAGTATTCATATTCTTCTTTGTCTTTATTCAAGATAATTTGTTTTGTTTATGTGATTTTAAAAGAGCAATAAAAAAAACTCTTCTCCTATGATGAAAGAGATTCTAAACTGTCAAGAGCCCAAAAGTCATCTCATTTACTGCAAGAGTCCAATAGCCTTTTCCTCTTCTCATTGTATTCAGAATATTTTTCTGACTTCTGTTTCTTCATTTCATAGCCTTCAATTCTTTTTTTTTTTTTTTGGTTTCATTCTGAAGCCTTTCCTTGAATCGGCCAACAGGGAACATGAGCAACTAGTTCATTATTTCACACAACTTATTAACCCCAAAGTGGCTTGTCTTGTTTTGGCTTAGCATGCAGCATGAAAGCTGTGATGAATGTAAATCATGGTTAATGGCACAGCCTACCATATGAAAGTGACCACTATGGCTTGTTCAACAAGTGGGATTAAAGCAAACTCTAGCTCAGTATTGTCCAAACTTGGCCACTTTCCACTCATCTTAAAGTGGCCAGGTTTGGACAACACTGCTCTAGCTGAATGTGAGGTGTGAGCCTAAATGTAGGACAATTGGTCTCTCTAGCCCCCACTGCCTACCTTGTGCGACACCAGCTTTTTGTTCTTCAGCAGAAGCTGTACATACATTGACCCTTCCCTCTCTTATTTTAGGCTGAGACCTCTTAACCCAAGTCCAGATCCTCTTTAGAAACCTTCTTCTCTTTGCTGGAACATGGCAGAGTCTAGGATGGGTGCACATTACCAATGTAGACAGAGAAGAATGTTTATCTCATTAATTGCACACTGCATTTGTGTTCCAGCTTCCCCCATAGCTATCTCATAGATCCTTTCTCCTCCAAACATAACCTTGGAAGCCCAGTAGGGGACAATGGTTGAAGGGAACTTTATGGAGAAAAACCATTGGCAAATGATTGCAGTGATTTTGCTTTCTGCTACAACACAAGATGTAGTTTTAGGCTCAGGCCTAATTTCTAGCCATGATCTTCTAGCCTTATTGGAGCCTTTTCTTTTATGAACAAGAATCCATTTAGTTTTTCCTGCAATTGATATTCTCCTGGCAGTGGCCTCAAACCTGCCATGGCAAGTCATGGAACCTTAAGCATGAGTCGCCCACTCTTCTGGGGCTGAGCTCAGCCATGCCATTAATGATACTGTGTGTAATAAAAATGGCACCCTGTGGTCTCCATGTGGCAAAAATGCACAGCAAAGCAAAGTCTTTGCAAATGTGGGATGGAAAATTACAGCTTTGTGGCCATTTCTTCTTGGAAGGAGACAGCTCCTATTGCACAATACTTCAGTGTCATGGATCTGAAGCCCATCAGTAGAACTCTAGGGAAGCACAAAAGATCCTGATGTCCACATGCTCAGTTGAAAGGCATATGCTATTCTGGTCCTGAGAAGTTGAGCAATATTTGAATCCCAATGTTTTCACCACTCAGTGGCAAAGCCCGTCTTTGGCCCAGAGAGACTCATGGGTTCGATTACCAGTATCCAGTAAAAAGGGTTGAAGAAGACCTCTGTAGGGAGGAGATTGAGGAAGCGGATGAAGAAGACCTCTGCATGGAGCAGGGTTGCTGCCAGTTTGAGCAGACAATATTGGGCTACACTGCACAGTTCACCAGGGTGGGAAATGGGTGGGTCAGTCCCCCTGTAGGCCATAAATGACCTCATCATCAGCTAGGTTGACAAATGCCCTGAACTTGATATGTGGCAGTTTCTTCATGCTTTTTTTTTCACAGTTGGTTCTATCACCATTGCTCTTTAGAAGGTTCAGACTGGCTAAACCGGGGCTAAAACTAAGGACGGGGCAGGCAGATTCTCGCTTTGCTTTGCTTTGCCTTCCTCCATCCTTTTTTATCTGGCGCTCCCGACCTAGGCCCCCCCGGAAGGAGAGGAAACGCCGCTCCCCCCAAGAAATGCCAGGCATCGTACGCAACCCCCTCCTCTCCACCCGCGAATTAAGCGATTCCCTTCCTCCCAAGGCGTCTTTTGGGGGCAGAGGAGGAAACCCACCGAGCAGCCCCACGCGAGCAACGCAGGACTGGAGTCGAACTGCGCTGGCTACACGTGGCGAAGCAGACGAAGACCCACCCTTCGCTGGGATCGGATCGGGGAGAGGGAGAGACCGCGGCTGGGGGAGGAGACCAGCTCGGTTTGCTCGAACTGGATCAGGAGGTTCCCCGCGGCTGCCAGCAACTCCCCCCCCCCCTTTAGTCCTGCATCTGGTCGCCGAGAGGAGAGGAGACGGGCTGGGGTCAAGAGCATCTGCTCCGGAACGGCGGCGCCCCCCGCCCCCCGCCCCCCGCCCCCCGC